GGGAGGGGCCAAGGGGCAGGGGACCCGGGTGGGGGCGGGAGATGGGTCCGGAGGGTGGGCTGGGATGGGATGGGCAGGAGGGTCCCTGCTGGGAACGTGGCGCTAGGATCAAGCGATGGAAAAGCCTGGAAAAACAGCGCAACGGAGAGGAGAGAACGGGCTGTGTTTTGGAGAGGGGAGGAGAAAAAGCGGGGAAAAAAAAAGAAAAATCCCCCGATCCGGGTTTTCCAAGCGCCTCGGTGGGAGCGGAGCTCGAGAGGGGCAGCGGTCTGTGTATCCCCGGGCTCCTGCATCCYGGTTCGCAGCGGAGCCGCCGGAACTTAACGTGGATTTTTAAGCCAGGCTCAGCCTCGGCGTGGCCTGACTGCAGAGCTAGTGCTAAGGAGCTAATTGTGGGATTTTCTGTTTGCCGCAGAATTCATAGGAATGAAAGTGAAAAWTAGGAATGGAAGTGAAATTAGCAGAAAATTAGCAGAGGGGCCCGGTGGTGATTGAGGCGCGGGGAGACCGTCTTGGTGGGTGAAAATCCCCTTGGGTGGCCACCTCGTTGTGGGGACATAGCAGCCCAAGAGGGAAACGGGGCCGGAGCGCGGAGGGTTTGAGAGATGCCCGGTGGGAGATGTGRTTGGAAGCCTGGAAAACCCAAATCTCTGGCGTGGGAATGAGGTGGGGCTTAGGCAGAGCTGCTCCCGTGCTCCCCATGGTTTAATCCCTATTTCCCGTTAAAGCCGAGGTCCTGGTTCCTTGCAGCAGGAATACAGGACCTTGTGGCTCCTGGTGCTGCCGTGTCCCGGCTCCCGGCCCGCGGGATGGCTCCGGTCCAGGCCCCTCATCCCAGGCCTCGCTGGCCGCTCTTCCCGCTTCTCCCTGTCCCGGGAATGTCGCGGGGCCGGTTTCCGAAGGCGCTCTTTGCCCTGGCTGGTTAGGCCGGGGCCCAGGCGGCTCCGGGCTGGTGGTGGCGCAGAAAGGCTGCGGTGGAAGGAGGCTGCCCGGCCCYGGGAACGGCAGAGACGGGACCGTTCCTGGGCAGGAATTAGCGGTGTCCCAAGGGAAACCAGCGAGCGGGGCCGGACGGATCCCGGGAGAACAACGAGGGCTCCRGGCAGCGGTGCCGAGGGGCGCCGGACCCGATCGGACTGCAGAAAACGTCTGTTTTGGTAACAAAAGCCCCTCCTGATGGCAGGAGGAGGTCAGCGAGGAGTCTCCATCTTGGCGCTTCTCTTCCCGTTCCTCGGCTCCCCGCGCTCCTCCCCTTCCTTCCTCCAATTCCYGGTCGCTCCGGCTCTTCCGTGCGGCTGCTCCGCGTTTCTCCTCCTGCCCCAGGACCTCGTTCTCCCGCGGCTGGGCYCGTTCCACAGGTTTCAGCCAGACTTCTCCTTTCCGCAGGCAGATTTCTGTGGATCGGGGGCTCGGCTGGACGGTTCTGCTTTGCAGCAGCCGTGATGTTGCACAGTCCGGCAACAGGGGAAGGGAAGTGAGTTGCATAGGATACGTAGGTTATTTGTAAGTTCCCAAACAAAGCCTATTCCTTAAAAATCCTCATCCATTATGTGACCTAAATGATTTTTTTTTAAACTTCGTGAAATTTTARTATCTTGTATCAGGTGCAAATAAGTTACATTTCCAGCAGCTTCTTTGTGGTCCCAAATCCAAGCTTTGACTGGAATCCCTTTTTGTGCTTGGGAATGGTTTGCAAGATGGGAATTCCTCGCAAGGCCTGTTTTTAGGGATGGGGGATCGTGTACCCTCAGTGTCATTTCCTATCAAACCCTGAGGAATAGTATATCCTTTTCCAGCTCTGGAATTTCCTGAGTAGCGTAAGGATATTAAAACATGTGGAATGTTCCTCGGGAAGCAGGGATGCTGGCGGGCTCGGTGCACTGATCTCTGCAGCTCTCGGGATAACTGGCTCATAACTCCAGGATCAAATACGGCCTGAGCCGCGTGTCCTAGGAAGGGAACCCACCTTGGCGAGCAGTGGATCCCCCTTTGCATCTTGACCCTTATGGAGCTCTCAAGGTTTTAACTAAGTAGAACGAAACTACAGCTTATTAAATATATTATTAATAATGTAGTGTCCATTACAAAGGCATTAGGTTTAGTTTGTTTTTCAGGACTGAGGAATGTACTTAAGCTGCACGCAGGGAGCTGCTTTGGAAAGCCCAGCGCTGTGAGGCTCCCTTTTCCCAGGGAAATCCTCAGCCCTTTTCCCTCCCGCGCGCTGTGGTTCCTCCTTGCTGCCGCTTCCCCCGCCTCCTTCCGTCCTCTTTGGGTTGAGTTTCCCCCTCTCGCTGCGTGCTGGAGTTCCTGGGAGGAAGAGGCCCCGGAGCGGTTCCCCGAGGGCCCCGGCTCGCGCTGTGACGGGAGGATTTCCTGCCTTTCTTCTCCAAATACCCAGCGGAGCGGCCGAGCGCTTCCCGTGAGCGCGTCCCTGTGCTACTTCCTTCACCTTCCCCACCATCTCCCACCTGCCAAGGGCTGGGATAAGGAAAGGAGAAGGGCTCGGCTCCTTCTCCCAGCACGGAGGACTCCGGGCTGCGCTGCAGAGGGRCCCTGTCCGAATTTTCCATCCTGGCTGTTGACAGCAGCTGGGTTTTGCTCCGGTTATTCCGGCAGTGCTGGAATGGGAAAAACTRGAATGGGGCATCAGGCTGTGGCTGTTTCGCCCGCAAACTCTCCTTCCATGAATTCTTTGCATTGGACCAGTATATATACATATAAAATGAGAGATGCTGTAGGTGACCCTGCGTGTGCAGGGGGGTAGGACTAGATGATCTCTAAAGGTCCCTTCCAACCTTAAGGATTCTGTGATCCTATGATGCATAATTAGGAATGGCTGGGTGTGAATTAATTGACATAAAGGTTGATCTTCTGGAAATTGTCCCACATGATGSTTTGCAGAGTTCTTTTGTGGTCCAGCCCTTTGGCACTCGGGATTTGGATGCTCCTCCTGGGAAATTAGGAAGACTCCCTAAGCTGGGCTGTGTTGGAGATCCCTGTGTCCTGAAACCCGAAAGGTTCTGTCCCCAAACGGGTGGCCCCCGTGTCGGTACCTAAAAACAGCTCCGCGCTCACGCTCCCACTTTCCAGATTGATTTTCTCTCCTGCAGCTCGTTAGCCATGATATTAATGTGCTCCCGTTCGCGGCTCCGACCRCCCATTCCATCGGGTCGGGTTTTTCCCTTGATCTCCTCCGAGCAGCTCGTTATCTAACGCAGCTGTAAACGTAGCTGGGCCTGGCACTGCTGCGTGGTTTGTCCCACGGGGGAATTTGGCAGATAAAATAATCCAATTAGACGTTTGTTTTTGGTCTCCGCSGGGCGCCTTGGGTTACTCGTGGTACGTGTTGTAATGAGTTAACGTGTGCGCCTCGCCGGGATGGGAAAGCGCCCGTGGTGCCCTTGGCTCGGGCTCTGGAGCAGAGCTTCCTAAAAGGAGCAACGAGGGATCCGAACTGCAGCTCCGGTGGGGCCTGCGCTCCGTGTGTGCCCGGGGGAACCTTCCCTCGTGTTCCTGGGTGTTGTGTTCGGGGCGTTGGGTCCACTTCGGGTAACTCTAAGTCCCTCGTTGCTGGTGTGACACTATCACATCCCTTTCTTTTCCYTTCTCCCTCTCTCTTTAGCCTTTCCCTGGTTTGGCCTGGATATCGGAGGCACCTTGGTCAAACTCGTGTACTTCGAACCAAAGGACATCACTGCCGAAGAGGAGGAGGAGGAAGTGGAGAACCTCAAAAGCATCCGAAAATACCTGACGTCAAACGTAGCCTACGGCTCCGCAGGCGTTCGGGACGTGCACCTTGAGCTAAAGGAGCTTACCCTGTGTGCACGTAAAGGCAATCTGCACTTTATACGCTTTCCTACCCATGACATGCCTGCTTTTATTCACATGGGCAGCGAGAAACACTTCTCAAGCCTCCATACTACCTTATGTGCCACGGGAGGTGGAGCATACAAATTTGAGCAGGACTTTCGCACAGTATGCATTTTTGGCTTATATACGCTTAGGATCTGGTAGTGAACCTTTGTCTAAGCTTAAAGCTAGAAATATTTCCAGCCTTTCCCTGCAGACTCCTAAGCTTCTCTAAATCTTTGTTTGGAAAAGCGCGGCTGTTTTGACTCGAACCCAGCGCAGGAAACGCTCTCCCTGTGAATGGGGATAGTCCCTTTCCGTGTAACGTTCCCATAACTCTAAAATCACTCGCTCTGACTGCACGGCCTGTGCTCTGTGCCCCGGTCTCCAGCTGCGTTCATCTCTGTGGTGTTTCTCTCCCTCGTTGCTCTCTGTCCATCTCGCTCTTTGCTTCGTCCTCTGTTCATTTCACACGTGCCTGGTAGGGAGCTCGTGGGGATTCAGCTAAATTAGGGGGCAAATTAGCTCCCTGGTTGGCGTTGGACATCAATAGGTGGCTCCACTGTAATTTAGATTCCTGTTTAGAGATAAAATATGTATTTGGTTGATATATTGTTCAACCAGGCCTTGAAAAATATACCAAGTAACATGCTGTGCACTCTGTGCACTCCAGGCAGTGACAAGAGGGGAAAACCACCGTGTAGCTTCCTCCTGCTCTGCTGCAAAGTGGTTTTGTTCTTTTTCCCCCTTCTCCTTTTTCTTGGCTTCTCTTGCTAGTGCCTCCCAGTGTGGGTCCGAATCCAGCCCAGGGGAGTCGGGATTCCCGGGGCTTCCGTGTGTGGATCGCGGGGGTTTTCTCCCCGTTTCAAGGGTGCCCCCGTTCAGGCCAGGATGTGTGCAGGAAGGTGGAGCCCTCGTGTGATGCAGGCTCCCTTCTGCAGGGGTGATGGAGGCAGCTGCAGTTTAGCCGCCAGCAATTGTGTTTTTCTAGCCCCGAGCATGAGCGCTCTGCATCTCCAGCTCCTTCTTAATTTTTCCTTTTTCCCTCTGTTTTCTTTCCCTCCAGATGGGCGACCTTCAGCTCTGCAAGCTGGATGAACTCGACTGCCTCGTCAGAGGAGTTCTGTACATCGATTCAGTTGGATTCAATGGACACTCGGAATGCTACTATTTTGAAAACCCGACGGATGCTGAACGGTGCCAGAAGCTCCCGTTCAACTTGGAGAACCCCTATCCCCTGCTCCTGGTGAACATCGGCTCAGGGGTCAGCATTTTGGCTGTGTATTCCAAAGACAACTACAAGCGGGTAACGGGCACCAGGTGAGCACAGCAAAATGCCCCCCGAGATTAACTTTAGAGCTCGCAGTGGGTTTGTGCAGGTGAGTTGTGTGCAGCTTTCCAAGGCACGAGCTGCCCAGGGAGGCTGTGGAGTCTCCTTCTCTGGAGATCTTCCCAACCCGCCTGGATGCGACCGGGTGCCCCGTGCTCTGGGTGTCTGGGTTGGACTAGATGATCCCTAGAGKTCCCTTCCAACCTCAACCATCCTGGGATTCTGTGCACTAAAAGTGGTGGGTTGAATGACCTAAGTTTTGGAGAGCTGTGTCCTACCACTGCAGTGACCACACAGATAGGTATTTTAAGACCAGCTTCTCTTCACTGCTCCGAGGAGGGTGAATATTGTAAAATAAGGGAGTTAATTTATCATTGCTTAGAAAGATGCCCTACGTAGGTGGCTTTGAACGTAGTGGGATTGCTTGAAAGCAATAGATGTAAAGAGAACTGCTGTTCTTTCAAGCTTGTTATCAAAAAGAGAACAGGCTGAAGGACGGGGACAAACTGACCCAGCTCAAAAAAAGCAGAACTAGTGATCTTAGCCTTCCACGGAGCAAGCAGTTTTTCCTCCCTCCCTTTAAGATCAAGGCAAAGAGGTGACTTGCATTTTCCTTTATGTCCCAGTCTCGGCGGGGGAACCTTTTTTGGTCTCTGCTGCCTCCTCACGGGTTGCTCCACCTTCGAAGAGGCCCTGGAGATGGCATCCCACGGAGACAGCACTAAAGTGGATAAACTCGTGCGGGACATCTAYGGAGGAGACTACGAGCGCTTTGGATTGCCAGGCTGGGCTGTWGCATCCAGGTAATGGATTTTCGGGGGGTTCTCCATCAAAGATGCATTTTGCAAGGATGAAAAAAAAWGGATTTAGATGTCTTAGGAGAGCTACCATTCCTTCTGCTGTTCTGTGTTGTGCCAGGTGGAAGTTACTGATAGCAGAGTTCTTAACAGTAGAAATAAATACTTAACTCTTAGCCCTAAAATTTCCTTTACAGTTTTGGGAACATGATGAGCAAGGAGAAGCGAGAATCCGTCAGCAAGGAGGACCTCGCAAGGGCCACTTTAGTCACCATCACCAATAACATCGGCTCCATAGCACGGATGTGTGCCCTTAACGAGGTATTAATGCAGAAATTACCCAGAAATTGCTTCCCTGCTTCCCATCCGGAGCATCCCCACTGCTTGTGCTGCTGTCGGGGGTCTCTTCCCCATGTGCTCCCCTGCAGGTGCCTGTTCACATGCATCTCTCTGCACATCAGGGAGCTGCAGTTTTTGGGTTGTYGGGGGAATTTTTGTCCTTGTTGCAGCAGGAACAAGAGGAACCTCGAGAAGAGGCTAAACCTGGGGCTGACCATGGATCCTCCAGAGCGCAGCAGCTCCTCGGAGCAGCCTGAGGAGCTGTAGGTGCCGCTGCTGAAGCTCCAACCACAGCGAGGAGGTGGCCCCATGGCCCCCCGCTCTTTCTCCACCACAGTCTTCTCGGAGACAAGCTTGGCTTCAAAGCCATAGCATGAGAAGAAGTGAAGGGGATCAGAGCGGGGAGCCGAGACCCGTCGGTGCCCGGCGCGCGCCGAGCGCCCGCGTCCTCGGCCAGGCGCCCGCAGCCCCGGCCGCAGCGTTGTGCCTTCAGCTTCTTTACAGTGCTGCCTTGTTGCATTCATGTCAAGCAGCATTGTACAGGGCTATGAAGGCACAGAGGCAACTTCTGCACGGGCTGAGCAAGAGCCAAGGCCTCCACGTCGTTGAGCTGCCCCTATGGGATGCGCTAGCAGGGCGAAACGCGCTCCTAACTCCTGCTTTTGTCAGCAAACACTTAATATTTGCCCCCATTTACCGTTTAAGGATACATATATACATTACAAGACGTGTTGTAAATAGTCTCTGTGACAGGCTGCTGGCTCCTAGCTCCACCAGTACATAATTAGTGCAAAGATGATGCTGAATAGAAGAATAAAGTGTTAATGAATTGGTAGGTGGAAGAAAAATCCACAGCCAGATGGGAACGAAGGAGCAGGTAGTACTTGGAAAGAAAGAAACTTTTTGGAGAAACTAAAAATTACTTCCTGGCTACAGAATGGGAAAGCTTCTGGTCTTTCACTCTATTTTGCGAGTGAAAAATGTGGCTAAAAAGCCATCTTAAATCAGAAATACGGGTGATCTGTCACTTCCAGACAGAACTGTGCTGGATATGGGTTTGTGGGTGTCTCTTTTCCTGGTCAGCAGTGAAGATCTCTCAGCTCTTGGATGACAGGCGGAGGTCAGAGCTGGGCACAGAGGTGACACTTGATGGGCACTGTCATTTAACACTGTCACAGGAGCTGTTCCCGCTCTGCAGATCCTGCCCGAGTCCTTCAGCACCGTCACTTTTTTCCCCTCTTCCAGYGTAATTTCTGGCTCTTCCCAGTGCCCTTTCTGAGCATCTCAACGTGCCCTGCTCTAATTTTGCCATCCTCTTTCAAAACGCCTCTTGCTGCTGCAAGAACCCACGTTGATTTGGTGCCCTCTCTTGAAGATGGGMTCTTTGGGGTACAACCTTAAAATGTTAAATTCAGAAAGCTGCAAATGCACCATCATCTTCCTCTGTGCTGCCCCCATCCCGCTCATTGCTCCTAGGTGTCGGGAAGAGCTGCTTGAAGTGCTGGGAAGTTTCTCTGCATAAATGTGAAGATTTGGCTCTGCTTTCAGCTCGTGGGTCTTTTTAGCAAGTCTCGCTGGAAGATGTATTTGAAAAGGTGCATATGTCCTTTTAAAAAGGCACTATATGTGTGTGCATATGTGTGTGTGTGTATATATATATATATTTATGCACACACACACATATACACRCACACACATACATACATRTATACAATTTTTTTCTTACTCCAGGGTGAGTTGCACAGTTGTAAGCAGAAAGTGGAAKAGTTAATGATTGGATTAATGACTTTTTTTTTTCCCCTTAATAATTACAGAACATCAATCGAGTGGTTTTTGTTGGCAACTTCCTTCGGATCAACACGATCTCAATGAGGCTTCTGGCCTATGCTTTAGACTACTGGTCAAAGGGACAGTTAAAAGCACTTTTCTTGGAACATGAGGTGAGGCAGCTCTTTAAATTTAATTTTCCCCCGTCAACATTGCCGTGAGACCCCCTGTTTGCATGGTTAATAGGAGCTCCCATCTCTCTGCTTTGCAGGGTTATTTTGGTGCAGTCGGTGCTCTCCTGGGACTCCTGGATTCAGCCTGACTCCATGTGGATTCTGTGCTTGGACCTACGGAGCAGGGACCCTTCCCGGGTCACAGTGCCCACGTTTATATAATTTTTGGAGCCTCCGTTTGCAGCAACTTGTGTGAGACCCAGTGAGGACAGGAGGGGAGAGGCCGTGGGGCTGTTTTTGCACCAGTGGAAGCTGGTGCTCAGTTGCAGTGTTGGTTTGCTCAGCAGGAGCAGCAACGTTGCCCCAACGGGGCGCTGTGTTGGCAGCATCTGTAGGGCTTTGGGTTACTTATATYGAGCAGCCCTTTTGTGGCTGCTTCTCCGTACGTTCAAGGCGGCAACGCAGGAGGAGCCTTGTGCTGTTTCCGTCCATGGAGGCGCTTCCCAAGCGTCTCCCTGGCTCAAGACACCACCGTTGGGCCGGGAATCACCCRCAGAAGGGCACGAGCATCAGCGCAGCCCCGGCACGTGGAGCTGCCAGGACCCCCTGTGCCCTAGGGAGGCTGCCAGGCGCCCTGTGTGTGGATCTTGGTGCTCAGCGCAACCTCCTGCCTGTTGTTGCAGCCCTTCCCCGCTCCCTGCGTTCCCCTTGGACCGGGATGCGGAGCGCCAGGACAGGGCATCACCCGCCACCCTCTAACAGCAAGCTGCAAGGTGACACTTGCTTTTTGTCCCTGTTGTAACAACTGTTCAGTATAACTCTACCAAAGAGGTTTCTCTCCCTTCCATTCGTGTCTGGGGCTCTTCTCCATGGGGTCGTTCCGCAGATCCTTGCTCTTTGTCCCCAGACGTGTGTGGCTCCCGGGGGAGCCTCTTCTGCAGGTGGCTCCGGCTTTGGAAGCAGTTTCCTGACGACGAGTGAATCCACTCGGATGGAGTTAACAGGGTGCCTGTAAACTCATTTTCCTTCCTTCTCTCCCTCCCCATGTTCTTTTCCGAAATTCTTCCTGGAATTGGATCTTCTAAGTAAAAATGAACAGYGTCCTTAGCGAGAAGGGTTAAAAACGGCCCATGCTGCTCGTGTTGGCCGGTCCGTGTAACTTTGCTCCAGGAAAGGCAAGTGGGGAAGAAAAATGGGCTTTCTCGAGGAGTCATCCGCATCTTCCCAGGGTGATGGGAGTTAAAGGGAGCTCCTCCTTGGAGCAGTTCCCTGTGGGATGAAGGCCGCTCCAGCGGGAAGGAGGTGGGAGTTAAAAGCAGCTGGTTTTCCAGGAATGGATCAGAAAGGAAGGTATTTTCCAAACCTTAGCTAAGCRCAGGGGCAGGAATTTGCTCCAAATTAGTAACTCATTTGGCCAAAGAAAGAAAAAAAGAAACTGGTATTTGGTGTTCACGTAAAAGGAGATTTTTTTATGTTTTTTTTTTTTCCTGTCTGTGTAATGCAGACATTTGATGCATTTGCTTTTCGAGGCGCTCACGTAGAGCAGGATAATTGTGTCTGAGATGGCGAAATCCCACGGAAGGCATCGCAGTTACCCCGAACAGCAGCACTYTTAAAGGCCGGATCCAGGGCTCCACGCGCTCCCCTTGGCTCTTCCTCCCCCCCGGCACGAGAGGAGGCCCCGGCCCCACACCGAAGAGCAGCAGCTTTCTGTGGRCCCTTCCTCCGTGCATTCATTTACCAGCTCCTGCAGGCTCTTGCGTCCAACACGTGACTTCCCYTATGTATTGTATGCATTATTTTGTAAAATAATTTTTTTTTCCTTCTTGGAATAAAATATTACAGTTATTTTTACATCCTTGTGGTGCTCCTCTGCTTCCCTGCTCGAGGGCTGCGTGTCAACCTGCAGCGGGCTGGGGCTGGAAACCTCTTCCCAAGGCTGGGAGGAGGAGGAAGGAGCCGGCCCCAACCCTCCTCCTGCCTCCGGCTCCTAAAATCCCCCCAAATTCCCCCGCCGCAGCGGGGGATTCCCGGGCTGTGCCATGGAGGGACGCGCGGCCRCTTCCAAACCGGCTCCGGGCCTTTATTTACAGCTCGAGTGGAATCGCATGCAAACTCCACGTGCGTTTATTGGTGTGTGCGTGTGTGGATTTCGGTCTTTCTCCTCCTTGTCGCCCGTTTTCCTCAAGAATAGTGTGATTAGCAAAAAAGACGCATTCGATTTTTTAAAATAGCAATTAAATATACAAAAATATAGCTTACAAAAAGAAAAAAAAAAAGGAAAAAAACAGCGAACGTTTCCTTAAAAAATATTCTGCTGCAGAATTCGTAGTGTACAAACACGTCTATGAGGCTCCAAGCTCCATAAACAGTCTCGGGAGTCGCACGGTATTTACAGGAGAAGAGGAGGGAAGGGGGGAAAAACCCCGCGGAGCCTCCGGGACTCCCAAGGAGGAGGAATCGGAGTCCCCTGCGCCGCCGGGATGGGCCTGGTCGCTCTAATACTGAATAAGCCCCTGTTTTAACCCCCGCGGGCCTGAGGAGATGCTACGTGGGAGGGCCCGGCGCGGCCTCCGGCTTCCTCGCCGAGCTCGGGGTTATTATTATTAGGGATATTATTATTTTTTGGCAATGCAAAATCCCCAGGGCGCCCGCGGGCCCCCGTGCTCGGAGGGAAGTTGTTTCCCTTCCCTTAGCTCCGCTCGCGCGAGGCAGAGAGGCCCTTGCTGAGGTAGCGGCAGGGCCAGCCCGGCGCGGGCTGGGCCATCCACGCACGAGGGGCCCCCCAAAACCGCCCACGGGGAGCCCCGCGGAGCCTCCCCGCGGATCCAAGGATGCTCCGGCGCTGCCATCCGGCTCCTCGCGCTGCTCCTTCCCTCGGGAAACGTCCGTGCGGAGCCGGGAGCCTCCACGAAGCTCGCCGGTGCCGGCGGCGGCGGGACGGAGGGCGCCCACGTCCCCCCGTGCTAAAGTGCAGAGCGGGGCGCGCGGGGGCCCCGCGGGCGGCTATACGGCGTGGGGCGCGCCGGGCAGCGCGTCCTGCTTGCCGTGCAGCTGCGCCAGCTGCAGCACCGGCATGTTGCACAGCGGGCACACCTTGCGCACCTCCAGCCACTTGATGAGGCACCTGGCGCCCGCRGGGAGCGAGGGAGACACGGGGTGAAGGGGGGGAAAGGAGGCGCCCGCGGCGCCCGCGGCGCGTTCACGGTGCAGCGTGGCACTCACTTGCGGTGGAAGGCATGTTTGCACGGGCAGATGCCCAGCTCGTCCTTGGGCTTGAACTCCTCCAAGCACACGGCGCAGATCTGCGGGCGAAGGGGAGAGCAAACGCCTGGGTTTTTGCTCCAGGAGCTATTAAAAAGCACCCAGCCCCCCGGTGTATAAATACAGCCCCGTCCGGGGGGGCTTTGCTGGGGGGATTGAGCGCCGCAGGGCGGAGAGGAGCTCGGGGTCTGGAGCTGGGGCCGCGGCCGCCGCTCTCACCTCGTGCAGGTTGAGCTCCTTCACCTTCTCCTTCAGGATAACCTGCAAGGCAGAGCGCGCGGGTTGGCACCGGGACGCAGCACCGCTCCCGCAGCGCCGGGTTGACAGCCAAGGGTAACCTGCGCACAAGCTGCTCCGCTTTGCAGGGAGCGGCTCTACGCAACCTGCAGCTTAAACATAAACTTGAACTCCCCAAACTACATTAACCCTTCATCGGTGCTGCACATCATGAGCACCGGCTGAAAGATGTGAAGATGCCGGCGTGGATGTGCCCGTGGTCTCTTGCTCCCCATTTCCCCAGTTATCCTGGACACGCTCCCATAGATCGGGCTTCCCGTGACCCAAAGCAGCCAGGAAGGGTCCAGGGAGGGGGACCCTGCAGGACGGCGCCGTCTCGGGAATGTGGGTACTGCTCCCGAGTGGGAAATGATGAGGATTGGGAAGGAGCCGCCGGGGGCTCCAGCCCTGCGGGAGAAGCAGGGGCGGCTCCGGCCGCTCCGTGTGCAGCCAACAAAGGGAAACACGGGACTGTTTCAACCCCCCCTTTAGGTGCATTTGGCTCAAGGCAAAAGGGGAGGGCAAAGGCAACCTGTGATTTAGCCCCTCACCTGCTTGTAGGCGTAGAGCTCCTTGTGGGCTTGATGTCTGAGCCTGCAATGGAGAGGGGAAAACGTGAAGACAGGAGGAGGACCAAAACGCCCCGAGAGCACACCGCATTTCCCGCCCGTCTACATTTAATCAGTGTCTTKTCTTTTCTGCTTTTTCCCTTTTTCATTTCCCAGACGAGGAGGGCCGCGGGGAGCAGGATTTGAGAGCTCTGCTCCTGCTCCAGCGGCGACCAGGCCTGGAAATGTCCCCACCACAAGGTCTCCTATGGATTCCTGCGGCTCCGGCCTTTCCCTGCGCTCCAGCCCTTCCCTGCGCTCCAGCCCTTCAGCTCCAGCATCCCCTGAGCGGCCATGAGACGGCCTGAGTCCCACGCAGGGGCTTCCAAGGACGAGTCATTCCGAGGAAGCCGAGGCGGCTCCTTCTCCATAGGAAACGGTCGGGATGCTCTGGGAAAGCAGCACCAGGACATTGACCCTCTTTTGCTTCCCATCACCGAGCAGGGGGGTGGTTTATAAACCAGRGGGGTGGTTTATTAACCAGGGGGGCAGTTTATGAACCAGGGGGCCAGKTTAGGAACCAGGGAGATAGCGAGTTGGTCGGAAAAGGGCAGGAAGAGGCGAGTCGCCCTTGGGAACGTGTGGAGCAGACGCTCCCCCGGCGCTTTCCCAGCGCCGCCTCCAGCCTTTTCATGTTGGACCTTTTCCAAGGGCGGCCGCGCTGGGGTTCATTAAGAGCTGGAGACCAAGCGGGGGACTCTGTTTGGGAAAGGCCTGCCCGGCCGGGAAGCACGAGGAGCCGGTGCCGTCCCCTTCCAGCTCCCGCGGGCACGGAGCCAACTCAACCTCTCGCATCCTTCCCTCTAGGACCCCCCGATAAAAGCACCCCGGCACCAAAGGCAGCTAGCAGCCCAGCAAAGGAGGCTGGTGCAAACGGAGGGCACCAAACGCTGCCCCAAAACCGGCAACGGGTCGGAACGGGCCCTGATGCGGCAGCGGGAGCTTTGATGTACGCGGGGCGGCAGATGATGGCGAGCAGAAGATGCCCGAACAATAGAGGAAAACAGGATGAGACCGGCCCGATCCGCAGAGATTCCCGCCGGGTGGGAAAGCCGTTATGAAAGCCAGATGGGGGAAAGCGAGATTCCCTGCTGGAGACCACATACGAGGGGGGAAAATCTCCAAAAGCCTGAGGAAAAAACAGCCTCCACCAAGCTTGTGTTTTGCCAAGAAGCCCCAAAAACTCCGTCCCCGCTTTGCTCTCCAGACGGTGAGGACGGATGGGGAGGTGGCCCCTCCGGGCGGACGGAGGCTCCCGGCGCTGGAAGAGCGGAGCAGGGCGCCGGGAGCGGGAACCTCCCGCGTCCTCCTGTCCCTGCACTCCCGCCCGGGCGCCGAGCRGCGGCCGCACCGGCGTGGGACGGACCCGCCGGGATGTGACCCCGCATCCGGCCGGACACACGGATCCATCCGCACGGCGTCAGGAGGTATCTCCACCAGATGCTCCTCCAGATACGGGACCACACAGCGGCTCCGGAGGCCRGCTCCCCCTCCAGGGACTTCTCCGTCTTCTCCATCTTCTCTCCATCGTCGCGGGCTCTATGCGACTCCCTCGGGAAAGGGAGCGTTGCGTTTCCTCCAGCCCTTTGCATTGCAACTACTGCTATGGAAACTGCTATGGAAGGGCCAAGGGAACAAACYGCCAGGGGCAATGGCATTTTGCAGCTTCGCCTCCGAGCTCCATCCCCTGCTCCATCCCTCCCGGCRCGGGCCCACGAGCATCTCCCCATGGATGGGACTAGTGTTTTGCAACACAGCGGTGCTGAAAACGAGCAGAGCTCTGGGTTTGGCCGGCCTGCACGCAAGAGATCTTCCTGGCTTTTTCTTTTTCTCTTCCTTTTTTGGCTAAAATCCATCTCCATGTGGAGCCCGTCTCACTTAGGAGCTTGATTCTTCCTCCCTCGGAGTCTTGGGAGCCAAACCTGTTGACACACATGCCAAACACAACCCACTGCCGTTTTCCCAAGGCAAATCCTCGATATCCCGCTGTCAGCTCTCGGATACCGGCTCTCCCACGCGGAGGATCCCTCCCCAGCTGTCCCGTCTCCCACGTTGCGGGTGGCGGAGGAGGAGGATGCTCCGATAAGGAGCCGGCGATGGCAGACAGGGCTGTGTCACGAGCTCTCTCCCTCGGGATGTGCCAAGTGTTTGCAGATGTGCTAGTCACGGGAGGCGGAGGGAGAGCGGGGCGAGGGGCCACCTAATCCGGGCTGCTTCTGCCTAATTAGTAAATTAACACGTCTCCTTCAGACACCCTCCAGACGCAGATCTGCACGGGAGCCCTGCGTCTCGTTTGCAGGAGGGGTCAGGACAGGATGGGCTGATCCCGGAGGCTTCTGCGGCTGGTTTGGCAGGGAGGGATGGGACTCGTCCTGCTGGAGCCCAAGTGTGTGAAACCCTCCTGCTGCTGGTCCTGCTGCAGAGCTCGCTCCTCATCCTGCCCACACACCAGGTCTGCAGGTCTTGTATCCCGCTCCAGCTGAGGTTTGGATGCAAAAATCCAAGGGGATGGATGCTCCAAGGGGAAATCTGCCCGGTAGATAGAGTGGCACGGAGAGGCCCTCCAAAACAGGATGTCCTTCTATGGAGGTCTTCAAAACCCACCTGGATGCCACCCTGTGCCCCGTGCTCTGGGTGTCCCTGCTGGAGMAGGGGTTGGACTGGGTGATCCCTAGAGGTCCCTTCCAACCTCAACCATTCTGTGACTCTGTGAAAACWGGGGGCTTCACAGGAGGACAATTCCTGCTTGGCATCATTTTGTACCAAACCGAAGAATTTGTGGTGGACTGAAGAGAAATTCATCATCTTGCTAGAGTTTAGGGCTACAGAGGGATCACGGGATGGTTTAATCCAAGCTCCTCTCCATCTTTCTGCTGGGAATGGGCACCAGAYCGTCTCCAGAAAGACACTGCCTTGATTTAAAAGCATCCAGAGATAGACAACTCGCCACTTCCCTCGCAGGTTCCTCATCCTTTTTTACAACGTGCCTCCAACTTCTAAATGTAAAGGTTGTCTGGCATGATCATCCAGATGTTACTGCTTGTTATTCCTCCTCTGGGGCAGAAGGCACCTGGTTGCACCGGGTGCCCAGGAAAACACTCGTTCTGAAGAAACCGGAGCCCTCGATGCAGCTCGGGTCCTTCGGGTCCTGGACACCACTTTTTGTGTGTCCCTTCACTTAAAACGCTGGGATCAGATGCAGCAGATGCAGGTCGGGAATGACCTCGGGGCTGGACGGATGCACTGTAGGTTCCTACGCGTTTCCCTGGGCATATTGCAGACCACAGGGAAGATCTCGATAGCGGGCAGCCCAGATCGCCTGGCTCTGGGCTCACCTGCAAGTTTTCCAGGGTTTTGCTGTGGTCAGAGCTGGAAATCCAAGCCAGCTCCCAAGTCCACAGCTTTCCACCCGGAAAGCCAAGGGAGGGAGGGAAAGGCGGCGTGACTGACGGGACCTGGGGCCTTTTCCCCCACCTGCCTCTCATTTCTCCCSCGAGAAGGAAGAGTTTGCAATTAATAGTCTCAAGTAACAGTCAAACGGCCTCCTTTCTGGCCCATAAAATAATCAAAGCGTCTCCCCCCGCCCTGCCAAACTGGAATAACCYTTAATCTCCCACCTTTCAGATCAACAAATCAGCTCCGCATCATTAACCTCCAAAGTGCGCTGTTGAATGAGCAATTTGTGCACAATGACAAATGGAGCAGGAATTAAACATTTCTTAAGCACACAGCACGCGAGTTATTCATTAAAGAGGGAAACRTGTCGAAACGTTGGGCAGAGAGCAGGAGCCACAGCGAGACAAGACAAACCCATTTCAGGGCTTTTTTAAGGAGAGCACTTAAGCAGCCAGTCTTGTTTTTGGGTATACACATAAATATATGTCCTGGTTTTAAGGAGAATAGTGTAATTAAGGGGGATAGGATAATTGCCATGGTCAACCCTCCTTTGGCACCCATAGGGAAGCAGAGGGCACGTGTCCTTCTCCAAGGAGCAGCCCCAACAACCCAACACTGGGTCAAGGGGAGCAGGCGACACTGAGGACCTCGTGGTCCCAGTCTGAACTGGGAAGCCCTGTGGACCAGCCAGGGCCGTTCACTCACCTGATCAAGTAGCAACAGAAGAGTAAACTGAGGATGAAGACGAAGATGGCCGTGCCRAAAACCACGATGTAGATGTTGAGAGGCAGGTTCTGGAACCCGATGTTCGGCATCCTGAAGCTGTAATGCTGGAAATCTGAGCTCATGGGGAGGCTGCAAAGACAGGGAGAGAACACAGGGATGTGAGGCTCCTTCAGAGGGGCGGCCGGCACGAGTCCATCTCGGAGGAGGSAAATAATCCCCTGGAATGCAGCCAGGGAGGGGAGTGGGGGGCATCGGCTGCCTCCTGCTCCTCGTCCTCAGGGAAAGGCATCCTTGGATTAACGGGCTCCCCGCTCCAGGGAGGGAGGCGGCTCCTTTACAGGAACCAGCTCCTGGTGAAGCAATCCTGAAAACAAAGCAGGGCAGGACAAACCGGAGCCGGGAGTTTTCTCCTCCCGCTGCGATCCCATCGTCTCATCCGGCTCTTTCCCCTCTTCCCTGCGCGTGCAGCCCTCGGGTTTAACGTTGCACCAGGCGCAGATCTGTGCCCAAGGAACCCAGGCTACAGCCAAGGCTCCCCTCTACCTGAAACYCCCTTTAATTAGACCAAAATGTTCAAAGCAGCCAGGTGGCCCTGCAATAAGGAAGTTTTGGGGTTTTTTCTTCTCTTCCTGCAGTTTCCGAGCCCGATTCCTCATTCGGTCGAAATTCCCCTCCACAACCTTCAAGCACACGGACGATTGACTTCTCTCCAATAAAAACAATCTCCAAAAGAGCTCAGGGCACCTCTCGGCAGGGCCTGGAACAGCCTCCCTGTTTGACAAGGGTCCCACGGCGCTGCCAGACCCGAGGCCATTGCCGGAGGAGCCACCAAAGAGCACGGTTTACATTTCCCCTTGAGACCTGGGCTGGGTTTAAGGGTGTTTTTGCAGGTTCCGGCTTTATTTCCCTTTGCAAAGCCACGTGGTTTGCAACCCCGCCACCGCCAACCTCTAAGAGGCCACAGAAAGCCCCAAATTAGCTCCGGGAGGGCAGGACGCAGCGAGGAAGAGGAAGAGCAAGAGGAAGAAGCGGCGACTTGGGCTGTCGACACACCGAGTTTCAAAAGAGCGACCCAAAAACCAGCCTCCCCCGCCACAGAGAGCCCAAATTAAATCATATGAGCAGCTGCTCGGGATAATGACTTTAACATATGATCTCTCCCATGATTTTACTTTTATGATTCGTCACACGGGACGCCGGTATTTTACAACTGCTGCAAGAAAGTCTTTCGAGCGGGTTTGTTACACTCAGCAGTCAGGTAAAATAGAGCCAAACAGATCCATGTCTTTGCATTGCTATCGAAACCTCCTAAATAAGTCTGCTCTTCATGCTCGAAATCCTGGAATGAGAAGTGCCTGTTTGTTATTGCTGCATATTATAACTTTCTATTTMTGTATGTGGCGGGGACTGCTGCATTCACCCTCGAATGCTCACAAACATCTCCGGCCAGGCAGAAAGTTCCCCCAGCCCCGGCTTAAAMAAGGAGGTTAAAAATACATCTCGTTTTCCTTTCATTGGAATTACTGCCCACGGAAAGGGCTGAACGCAGCTCGCAGGGAAACTGCACCAGAAATAAAKAAAATACCTGAGGTTTTAAGCCCGGTTTCGCAAGGGAACTTACTGGGGGACCCCAAAGAAGCGGGAAGCTTCCCCAGGGATCTGGGCTGCACAGCTCCAAATTTCCGTGCGGAGAGAGAAGACGCGAAGGTGGGATGTGCACACAAGTGTTTTGGAAAAYGGGGAGCAACGAGAATCCCCTGTTTTGAACCGAAAAGCCACCGTTTCTGTAAAAGACGTGAACTCGGTGCATCCCGACAGGCTGCAGCCCCCCARTCCCTCAGCTATTCCACCACCATCCCTGCGAATTGGGATGTTTTTGCCTGGATCTCAGGATCTGCACTGCTGCTTTATCCGTGAGGCAAAACCCACCTTTCAGCTGGGCCCTGCGGCTTCCCGCGCTCCCATTTCTCCTGCAATCCGCCCCGGCTGCCGCTCTCCGTCTCCTCCCGCTGCAAGTTCTGAGGCAATTTCTGGAAAAGCCTGAACTTCATTAAAGCCTCCGGAGAGCAGAACACATGTGAAGGAGGAGGCCGAGCCAAGCGGAAAGGCTCTAAGGACGTGGAGGCCACACGCACCCTTGCGAGCGCTGGAGCGGCTCCAACGCGGCAGCCCCAGCTCCAACGCGGGGGTTTCATTAAACAAAAAGAGGGGGAAAACCAACAAATTGGCCCCCAAACCTTCGCTCCCACCCGCAGCTCAGTTAATGCTCCGCGCAGCGGGGCTGGGATGTTTGTTGTTGTAGCTCCGTTCTGGAATTGTGTGCCGGGGGTTTGCTCGGGAAAAGGGATTTCAGATGCTCCAGAGCCCCTGGTCACGTTCATGCAATGGCAGMGGGCTCTGGATGCGGCAGGACTGACCCTGGATCCCTTCCCATCCCCAACCCGCACCCACGCTGCCACCCAGAAACGTCTCAGGTCATTTTTGTGCAGCAGAGGAGAGGACTAAACAATAAAAGAGGCCACCAGCTCCACCAAGGAGCCCAGYGCAGCAGGGGCGGCTCTTCCCCCTGCGGCCGCGGCTTCAAAACCCGCTGCGGTCCGCGATTGCACAAGGCAAAGCGCAGTTTTATGGTTGGGAAGATCATAAAATATCTACAGGAATTCAGCCTTAAAGCAACAGTGGGCAGGACAGAAAGCGGGAGGGTCGGTTAAAGAAGGGAGACGTTCTCGTTGGTTAAACGACGAGAGGCTGGAGAAACAACATTGGGAACCCTGGACCCGCGGCTGCTCCGTACCGCCGAGGAAGCCGAGCGCAGGGATAGGTGCAATGCGGCTGGACTCGCTGCTTGAAGGTCTTTCCCAACCATAATGATTCCAGGGACCTGGCCTGGGCCACCGTGCAGACAGACACAAGATATCAGCTCTCTCTTGGCCAACCCTTCCATGACTTCCCACAGAGCCCAAAAACACGGCGGGACAGTCCCGGGCACGCGCACAACGGGACTGCTAAGTCGCATTCACCAGTGCAAAACTTCAAGTCAGCTCTTCAATACCAGTGCAAAGCATCGATGCCTTGGGGTTACACMCAAATACCCAAGGCAACGAAGCTCTCTTGGAGAAACCACCACAGACCTGTCCTAGTAGCGCTGGGCTAAGTCGGGCTCTCTCCTTTAGAACTTCTTAAAATTGGGAGGCTTTTCTCTAGCCAAGTAGAGGTTGGGGTTCCTGTTCCCTTCACAGAGATGTTGTAGGTCTTGGGGAGGGAAGAAGAAGCACCACGGGGGAATTAAGGCAACAATGCAATCTAGCCAGGAGCTCTTCACGCATCCAACCACATCCAGCTGTTCTACCAGCCCGGGCGACCACAACCACAGCGATAAACCCAACACCAGCACAGCTGGCCAAAAGTTTGGGGTAAGTAAAACCAAAAAGAACAGTCCCTAYAAGCTGAGCTCCCTTCCATCCATGGTCTTCTTCCAACGGCACCATCCACTCCGTGTTTTCCTCGCCTGCCGAGGGGGCCACGACCTACCTGCTGGCCATCCCGCAGAGCTGGGTCTCGCGGCTCCGATCCTCGGGGCTCCTAAGGTGCCTCGCGGGGCGTCTTCACGGCACCAGATCCATCCAACCACAACCACATGAAACGAGCTCCTCCGCGCCAGGGCTACCCTGACCAGGCTGCTCCTCCCTCCCTTCTTCTGCAACAGCTGAGAAACGTCACAGCAAAATAAAAAGGAAAAGAAGAAGAGGAGGGGGAAAAATTGGTTAGCTTGGACACAGCCTGCGGGAGAGCCAGGAAACTGTTAAAAGGCTTCACAGAAATGCGATGGGTTTGGAGGAGCCAAGTTTGGGTTTGTGTCCTTTTTTTTTTTTTTTGGAAGGGGGAAGGGAGGAATTGCTTTTTAATCAGCTTCAGATTGAGGAGAAGGCAGCCAAAAGCAATAAAAAAGGAGCTGTGGAGAGGGATGGAAATGTTGTGAGGGAGAGCAAAGCTGTGCCGGCTCCGGGCGACGACTCCGGAGGAAGAGGATGAGGATGTTGTGCTCCGGCAGAGGAAGGAGGAGAGCGGGAGAGGTGGGATGGAGGCCGAGCCGATTTCCAAGGAGAGCTTTCCCGTTGCACTCGCGAGGAAGGAGCCCTCCAGAGGGGAGGACGGCTGGGAATGGAGCTTTCACCAGGAGAGCTCAACGAGATTAAAGAAGGGGGCAATTACCCGCCAGGGAAACGGAGGCAGGGAGCAGGGCAGYGAGGCGGCCGGAGCACGGAGTGCGGCGGCGCCGTTCCCTTGGGATGCAGCGGGGAGGCCGGTGCAGGAAGGCCAGGGACACGGGCGCCAAAGCAAGCAGGAGGAAACACACACACTTGTTTATTGATCCTCGCTTTGCACGGGCACGGAGCGAGGCTCGAGCTCCAAAGGAGCCGCGCGAGGCTGCGCAGCCGCCTCCGCGGGTTTGGCCACGTGCTCYGAGCTTGGCCCGGAGCAAAACCGGGAATGGCTCCGTGTGTAACCGGGAATGACGCTGTATGGAACCGGGAACGGCTCCGAAGGGCCTCCCTGCGCTCCGGAGCACCGCAAATCCTGCGAGAAACGGTCCTGAATGCCAATGCCTAACGCACTCGTATGGGGGGGAAAAAGGGATTTTCCCAGGCACTTAAGAGACAGCAGGAAAAAAATGCCATTAATTAACAGACTATTAATGAGCAGCGTGGCAGGGGGGATGCTGAGCCCTCACATTAAGCAGTTTTGCCAGAGGGGGTGAGAGCATCCCGGCTTTTTGGGGAGCGCTCGGTGCCAAGTGCCAGGACGGTGCCAAGAAAAGGAAGCCGGGGAAAGTTCACAGCAATGTCCCGGTGACCCCCGGCCGCTGCCGCGTGAAAACGGGGGAAAAAGCCCCAAAAGAAGAAATCCAGTGGCAAAGAAAGCCGCGTCTGCAAGGTCTGACCCCTCCGGATGGGTCCATCCATCTCTCCGGATGGCTCCGYGGGAGCACAGGCACCTGGAGGGGTGGCCTCGTGGTGGGAAGTCACATAGGGATCCATGAAACGCCCGGGATGCGCTGCCGGATCATGTCCAGGGAGCACCGGTAGGGAATGAGACCCAACACAAGGCATTTTACCCGCAGGGAACCGTCGCTGCGGCCCTGCCCGTGACCGAAGCGAGATCGTTTCCAAGCCTGGCCGCCCGGCTGCCCAAGAGTTAATTGGATGCTTTTCCAGCTGGGATCAGGACCAAATTCCCTGGCTCCGCGCCCTGCCTGTGTGACACCGAGCACAAAAATTTAACCCTCGCCAGCACCGGCAGTGAGGCATGAGCCTGCAGGCCGGCTGATGCAGAGCCATAAATAAAGTGCAATAAAAAAATGCAAGGTTTGATGGAGCACAAAGCAACTGGGGGAATAAAAAAAAAAGAGAAACAAGAAAAAAAGAGGTTGAAAAAAACTTTACAGCAAAATGGGCAATCAGAAAGACCAGGGGTGCAGCGAGCGCCGCTGCAGTACCTGGATAGTGTTTCTGATTCCCATCAGCTTTACCAGGACAAGGATCCGGTGACCTTCCTGCTGAGGAGTCCCTTTAAATGTGCAAACATTTCTGCTGCCGCTGGCAGAGAGAGGCGCAGAAAATGGGTCAGCTCGGGCGGCTCCCACCGCAACGCCGGGAGGCGACGGAATCCGGGGCGTGCGGCGCCGCTTTGCACGTTCCAGGAAAACCAAAAAGGTGGGAAAACAGAAAAAAAAAATCAATTTTTCGTTGACATGCAATGAAGCAGCCGGACACACTTTGTGGCCTCCCGAAATCCCTTTTCCCTGCGTTCCTTTAATGCAAAGAAATCAGCACAAGTCACAGGCACCAACGAGCTGTGCAAAATACTTAAAATCTTAATATTTAAAATCAGGCACCTCTATGGGACCCACAAAGGTGCCCAGGACAGAGGCTTTTGCTCGCTCAGCTTGCAACAGCGGCACTAAATACAGAATAAATTCACCAAGGGGTGAAGCAGGGCCCCGAAAGGCCGGCGAGCGGAAACGCCGCTTGCTTTCGGAAGAGGCGTTGCGAAAATCATGCAGTTTCTGCAAGATTTGGGTTTGCTGACGATATTTAAAAAGCCACCAGGAAAACCCACACGAACCTGAAGGCCAAGTCCAGCCAGATGGGAATTTCCACCACATCAAGGACACTTGATATTTTTCCTTCTCCTGACATAAAAAWGAACTACGCAGCTGGCTTGTCCTTCCTCTGGTTTGCCCAAAACTACCTGTTTTCCAGAGATTTTTTTCCCCCTGCTCCACTGTTTGTTGTGGGCAGCTAATGGAGGCCAGGGGGGTTTTGCAACAATTTTGAGACCATTTGCAAAACTCGTCCTGASATTTGGGAAAACGCTGAATTTGCACGTCCCAGCTGGGTGCTCCATGGAGAAAAAATAAATTAATAAAAACACTAATATGCACAAATTGGTTCCTACTCATGCACAGTCACGCTGCCCTCAGAGACACGGAGCAAAAGCCACAGCCAGGATCACCAGCCCTGTAAAGTCAGAAATATTTTGCTGGAAAAATTGGGGAAAACTTTTCTGGAAAAGCTTGGGAAAGGGGAAAGGCGGCGCTTTAGGCTCAGCAGAGCAGCCCAAGAGCTGCCGTGTCTCATCTGAAGATGATGCTGAGTGATACAGGCCGGGTCCTTCAGCAGTTTGGACCAAAGAGGAGAAAGGAGACTTGATCTAGAAGACTGAGGACACTCTATTGGAGAAGTTATCCATGTTTTCCTCTCTTGCCTGGGAGCTGTGGCCAGTGTTTCCCTTTCACTCTCTCCCCTTCTTAAATAGCGAGTTTTTAGGTTCACGGGAAGGTGTGAATCAGCTCTGTGGCTGGCAATAAATATATAAAGAAAACAACACTTTGTTTCCTCCCCTGAATTTTGCATAAATCCAACTTTCTATAAGTAAACCCACAAATTAGCTTTGTTCTGACAATGCAGGATGGCTAAAATAACAGTTACAAAAAGTGCTTTACAGGTTGTCTAAAATTTGGCTTTCTAAAAACCGGGCTGAGAGCTTGGGCCGCGTGGTCGATGCTGCCAGATCTTTATAAATCCCTGGATGCTGAATGGTCTATGAGGAGGCAAATCCATGGCTGGCACTAGCAACTCCGGGAAGCAACCAGCAAGATCTTTGGGATCTTGGAGCTAGAGATGCTCCAAGCGAGTCTGTTCACAGAGTCACAGTCCAGGAAGGGAAACCGAGGCTCTTCCTCCCTGCCGTCCCGCTCTTCCAAACCCTTCCGGCCTTCCCTGTCCTTAGGAAGTGCAGCAGACGATGGGAATGCCCGCATGGAGCTGAAACGTAAGGAAGGTGCCGCAGGCAGCAGGATGCAGGTGTGATACCCAAGGACGTGCTTAAGGTGGCCAAGCCCCCGCMCTGAGATTCCATGTGGGAAGCTGGGTTCCCTCCGCTCCACAGGGGAAGGGACGCGTTCAATCCCATGGGAGCAAGGCTGCGGCAAGGCCGGGCGGCAGCTCCTGGCACATCCCCCTGGAAGTGCCGCGGCCTCGTCAGCAGAGCGGGAATCACGAGCTCTTTGYGCGCGTCCAAAGCGCCCTGGGCCCCGGCCAGGAATTCCCACCTCGGAGCTCCGTGGAGCCTCCCGTGCCCAGTCAAGTGACAGCTGGGAAGCACCATGAAGAAACCGAGTGGGGAGGGAAAAAAAAGAGTAATTTTTTTAAATCCGCCGGGATTTAAAAGGAGGGCAGTGTCACAGAGGGGTGCCCAGCGGTGCGGTTTGCACTGAACCTTCTCCGGTGGCTCCGTGTTCGCCCTCCCAACACGACCACGAGGCTGCAGCCACGTCATATATCTACAATTTATGCCAGCCCCTGAAATTAAAAAGCTCCCGTCTCTATTAGTAACTGCAAATATATTCCTTTCAGGAACTCCTGCATGGCGATGACGTTTCGCTGCGTGAAAAGAAAGACAAAATAAAAAAGGGCTCAGCTAATCCCTGCAATTTTATAAGCATCTCAGACACTAATCCGTTGATCTCATTGGAAGGGATTAGCATTACTCGCTCGCCGGTAAATTTAAGAAGTTTTGAGGCAGATGTAAACAAAGCCTGCGGAGAGGCTGCTGCCGCCCAGCACGCCCACAAAGCCTCACCTGGCTCTCGTTGCAGGCGCTGGGAAAAAAGAGGGATTTTCATCCGGATCCCAAGGAGGGCTGCGGGTCTGGGCTGTCTGGGATGTGGCAGCAACAATGTCCAATGCTGCTCCGTCCATCTGCGCCCAACCAAAAGGGGAACATGTGTCCGAGGAGAATTCCCATCGCAGATGCTGCCGTGGGAGCATCCCGATTTTTTGGAGGGGAGCGTGATGGGTTTCCGTGGGCTATGCAGGTTTTGGGGGATGTTTTGCTGCTGGTTTAAGCCAGTGCTGAGAGCTGTTGGCTTTTCCCTCCCTTTCCCTGGCAAAACCGCACGGATCAGAGCTGGGAATGGATAGGGCTGAAAACTACTCTAATGAAACCTGGGAATATACAACCAGGGAAAAAAGATGGGAGCAARGATTTGGACTGGCCATAAATCCACAGCCTGAAGTTTCAGGAGTCTAAAACTTTATGGGAATGATGTTGCAGCTGAAAAATAGACT